GTCGAGGGACTGATTACATCTTCATTTCACTACTACACCTGCTGCCTCTATATTTGACTGAAGAAGCCTAATGTGTAGGCGAAACGTTTCAACAATTAAGATACCCAACTGTTGCACATGTGTCTTAAACATCATAATACTCAAAAATAAAAAAAGGCACAATACCGTGACTGGAACGATACACAAATAACCCGCACATAGGAGAGAGGAGCTTACGACGACGTTTCGGTCCGACTTGGACCATTTACAAAGTCGTTAGTGAGACTTTGCAAATGGTCCAAGTCGGACCGAAACGTCGTCGTAAGCTCCTCTCTCCTATGTGCGGGTTATTTGTGTATCATAATATTCCCAATTTTTTACCAATAACAGTAGCAAAATAAAGACTACAAACACCATTGAAATACTAAATATTTTTTTTAAGACACACAGACGTTGAAGATTTGAAGATGATGGCTACATGAATGACCTATTGGATGAGATTGTAACCTAATAACGACCACTGTTGTAGTGGTACTCACTTGAATTTTCTTCATTGTATGTACGAGCGTCTCCATATTGTATTGTGTAGATTAGATATGTGAAGAAATTGTAACATACGACAGAACTGTAATATATTTAAAGGTGTAATTATGTTGAGTGTGGTCTAATGAAGACCCATTGGGACCTCTGTAATCCTGTTCTTTGCTGCCGCTCACAGGATTACTTGAGGTGTACAATAATCTAGGCACTGAGGCGGCACTAAGTAAAGAGAAATGATGGGAGGGAGGGAGGGAGGGAAGGAATGAATTATAATAGGGATGGCGGGTAGTAGAAGAGGGAGGAAGGGAGATGGAGAGGATTGGGGAGGGAAGCAAGGATGAAAGGAGGGAGAACTGATGAATGGACGAACGGGCAGCAGTGAGAAGACATAATAACATTAATCACAGAGGAAAATTACAACTTTGAGTTGGTTTTGGGAATTATCGCCACCGCAGCTCGGTCTTAGACCAGGCCTCTCTGTTGCTGGTCTGATCGACCACTCTTAGTACCAACTGCATGCAGACCAACGTATGCAACACAGCCTGGTTGATCAGGAGCAGACTTGTGGAATTTATCAAGTTTGTTCGTTATTACCCCAACGGATGTTAGGGTAATGCCTTGATTGTAACTGTGAACACCATGTAGTATCACACTGATACAACCTTGTTGCTACTCGTAAACAAGTGTTACTGGTCAGGAAAGCTTAGTTATGAGTTCCTGTGACCGAGTCCGGAAAACCCAGGTAACATTTGTGCCTTATAGCAGGGTCGCTGCCACCTCCAGATTGAGAGATCCCTGAGTTACATAATACAGCCACTTGAAATAGGTGGGCTGGACTCGTATTGTGTCAGGCATTTACATATGAAATAGACCATAGAAAGGAAGGGATAAAAAAAAACTTGCAGGAGTATCCATGTTTAACTCTGCCTCAGTCTTGAGGACTGAGTCTAAAAATGAGGTGTTTGAGCTAAGGTTTGTGTGAGGGTGAATGCTTGCCTGGTTTGTCTTGTATAGGGAAACATGTCTTACTGACCTCGTGCATAACCCAATAAGAGACCAACCTGGGGGTTACATATACGTTCGTCGACCAATCAGAACTACCCAGGACTACGTCACTAATTAAGCAACATTGGTTCTTACTAAACCCACGTGACCTGACCCCTACATCTCCAACCTGTGGGCAAGTAGGCAGCTTGTTGGAATGACTCAGTTAACTTTATGTGGATATAATGAAAATAAAAATTACATAAAAGTGGTTTCCTATATCACTTCAGCTCTGAGATTTCGCCTGTCTTTAAAGGGGCAGTTACATATAGCAATATTCCATCCTGAAGAAAACAAGTGACTTGAAGAGTATCTTTAGGTTTGGCATGTCTGTTTCGAAGGTTTTAGTTATCCAGCTTCACATTTTCCTTACGGCTGTGATAACATTGCTATGGCCTTTGAATTTTAGATCCTCTGATATATCACTCCAAGAGTGAAACTGAAGACAGGGAAGTTGAAAATAATAGAACATCAATGGCCAAAACCGGATCAAGACCATTGTGAAGGATCAACTGATAAGGCTGAGGATGGGATGGTGGCGAAGAATGACAGGAAAGTACAGGAGGTCCCCGCTAATACATCAGATTAGGTTCCCGACTACTTCTGTAAAGTGAAAATCACTGTAAAATGAAGTTTATCCTTTTTTTCGTTTTCAAATGTATATAAAAGCCTGATAACATGTTTATACTATCATATGTTTAGTGAGCAATACAGCTTGGCTTAAAAAAATGCATATATAGTACACATTACTTACCTTAAAATATTTACGTACTTATAGGGAGTGATGAATATATTTTTTGTAGGAAGCCTGAATAAATGAAGGTGTAATTGAAAACTGCTGTATTAGCGAAACTAATGCTAAGCGCTGTAAAGTGGGGCCCACCTGTATGTGAAGTACTTAGAAAAAGATTCGAAGAGATTTTACAAAAGAAAGTGAAGAACTACCAGAAGACACTGTAGTCGGAACAGATCATTGGGTGCTGGAATCAACACAAGAAGTGATGAGACTACTACATGAACAGGATGTAACAAAAGCAGTGGGACCAGACTACATTTCTCTATAGGTGATGAGAGATGGGGCAAACTATGTGACCCAATAACAAAAGTATTCAACCAATCTCCAATCAGGACAGTTGCCAGAAAATTGGGAAAAGGCAAATGGGGTCCTCATTTATGAAAAAGATTTCCGGCAATAGGCCCTGATTTAGATTCCAGTATCTAACGTGCATACTGTCAGTAGTTCTGGAGAAAATAATAAAGAAAAGGATACTGGGACACTTGACGAGAATATTGTTTACATAAAACTAGCACTGATTTTGGATGTTAAATCCTGTCTTACGAATTTGCTGGAATTCTACGAAAGTCACAGAGACAACAAAAGGGCAGGCAGGGTTGAGTGGATTGCATTTTCTTGGACTGTAGTAAAACCTTTGATACAGTACTACACCAGAGATTAGAAATTAGAAGAACAAGCAAGGTTAAAAGACAAAGTGTTACAGTAGGTCAAGGGGTACATAAATCTTAGAAGACAGGGAGTAACCATAAGGGAACAGACATAATGGAAGAGAGTAATGAGTGGGGTTCCGCAAGGATCAGTGTTAGAACCACTATTGTTTTTAAACATGAATAGCTGTATAGCCCTTGTGGCTTAGTGCTTCTTTTTGATTATAATAATATAATTTAAACATGAATAATCTGCAGAGGGAATCGAGTCTTATACCACTGTATGTTAACGATATATTATTGAGAATAAGAACAGAAGAGTGACAAACTCCAGGGTTCTACCCAAACAAATGCAAGGTCATGCTTTTTGAAGGAGAAGGCAGACCTACACTTGAGTACAACGTAGGTGGAGAGAAACTGCAAATATCAGAGTGAAAAGAACCTGAGGGTAAGCATAACACAAAGCATATCACCAGAATTGCAAATAAGTCGTGTAACTACAGCGGTATATTCGATATTAACAAACCTCGGAATAAAGCAGCATTCTTCAGAATCGTATACTATACTATATGCAATAAGATCACATAAACAGGTGATATCAGAATATGCAAAACAACCATTGTGAAAGAATAGTGAAATTCCAAGCGATTTCGTGACTTCTCACGTTATCAAGGAACTATATATGTCAAGCCAGTCATTGAGTACGTAGCCTGAGCATTGCGCCCACACCTGTTCAAGCACGTCACTAATCTGGAAAATGCACAAAGATTTGCAATCAGGCAAGTACCAGAAATGAAGGGATTCCCTACGAGAGGTTGAAGGAACTCAGCATGACGACCTTGACGGAGAAGAGGGCAAAAGGATGACCTGATTTCGACATACAAAATTTTAAAGAGGAAATGATGGGGCAGATAACGATAGACTGAATTAAGAGGACCAGGATCAAGGAAACATAGGAAAAAGCTGAATGTATAGATGAACCACAGAGATGTAAGGACGTATTTCTTTATTCCTAGAGTAGTTGAAAAGCAATATGATTTGGATGAGGCAGTTGTGGAGGTCAACTCATTACACAGCATCAAGAATAGATAAGCTAAGGTCCAAGTGGCCAGAAATCAATGATGGTGACCAATGTAGTCTAACAAGCGGGACCAGGAGCAGAGTCTCGACTCCTGCAAACACAGCTAGGTGAATACATCATTTCCGTGGTGTATACAGCCAGCGCGCACATAAATACATACATAAACGCCTACATATACATACATACATATACATGTTAAGCTGTATATAAATTTGTCGTGGGGTCATCTTGTATTTCCTGGGTTCAGCTTGGTGCATACTAATGAGTGTGCCTCAGTGTTCGTAGCTTCTTGCCGCATCTTTGTCTCATACTAAAGGGCTAAGTTACGTTTGATTGACGTCGTGTCTCCACTTTCGCTCCCACTCAGATTACATTTTAGTATAGATTTTTGTCGCTTGACGTATCTTTTTGCTGTACAGGCGTAATGGTGTCACACCGAAGAGACCACTTCTTGCCTTTAAAGATTTATATACCTGTCACTAGCAAGGCAAAAATCACATTTGTAGACTTGTGAATTTATTTTTGCCTTCCTGGGATAGCATTTTGTTCCAGTCTTGTGCTGAGCTCGGTTTCTCGTACAGCAAGTTATTTTGCCGCTATGGGAGGGTTTCTTGCTAAATTTTGGATAATTTGGGACAGTTTCTCTGCATTTTACTTTTGTGAAATTCAGTTTCATAGAATGCGTTTTCAATTTGTCTCACTCATTCTCGTTTTCCTAGGTTCTCGTTCCTTCCTTCATCCTCTTTCCTCCACTTCCCCTCCTTCCCTTCTTTTTTCTCTTATGTCCTTCACTTTGTACAATGAAGAGATAACTCAGACCTCTGACGGTACTCGTTTATTTCACTAAAGCCATTAGTATTTTAAACTATCTTCATTCGCTCTATAATTCAATAAATGTTGTTATTCTGTGCAGGTGATGAAATTCTTGCAGTGAATGGCAAGACACTCTCCGGGTTGAGTCACGCCGAGGCCATCGCTGTCTTCAAGTCCATCCGGGCGGGCAAGGTGATCATGCACGTGGGCCGCAGGACCTCCTCTAGCACCAGGTGGGTTATCCTGGCTCCCTCATACCCTTGTACTCTCTTCTTGCCCGCTTGTGCATGGAATATTTATCTACAGATCAAAGGCAACGCCAGTCAACCTCGACAAACAGGAATTTTGCCGCTGAGGTGACTTATTTATTGTGTACTTCATAGCCATCTTATGGACAGTAATGCTAGAGCGTATGAGTTGTCAAAGACCTTAAAGGAGGTTAAAGAGAAAATACTCTAGTACATTTATTATACAGTCATTTTAATAATTATCCTAAATTGGTTTTAAAATTTATTTGCTCAATTAATTCTTTCTCGTTTTCATAAAATATCCTGGCATATCGCAAGTTAATTTAATGTCTATTTTCCTCAGTAAGTGAACAGTTAACACTCTAACAAAATGACTAATTGGATAACATATTTTACCTTAAGTTTTATCGCTGTCATAATATTGGTTAAATTGTCAAATCATTCGTAACCAAGCTAAGCCTGGAACTACGGCATCTGTTAGTCAGTTAACATTAGAAGTTGCATCTAACTGTATTTCTGCCTAGTTGACGAGCCTGGCCCATGGTCGGGCTCCGGGAGTAGAAAAATTCTCGGAGCTCATCAAAGGTATATCTAATGTATACAAAAGCATATCAAGAGTGATATTCGTCGTCTTTCATTGTACGATACTTTCTTTCGACCATGAACATTATCATGTAGGAATAAGTCATTTAAAGATGTAATCCACAATACCAAAAGTAAACCTTTTGATAGTTCCATATATAGCATCGCTCCGTTTTTAACGTAAGTTGATTGTTAAGACTAGACGTGGTTCTTAGTTGTTTCTGAGGAAGTGGCAGAACAGTAGAAACAGCCCTGCCAGTTCACTATTGTTTAAAGCCACAACTGTTATATGATATATTTCTTGGAGAGTTCATCAAAAAACGTAATATAAAAAAATACATCATTCACGGAAGGTGATGGGTTCTTGCTGTCTATAATGCTAATTAATACCGTGTATGACATTTAAAATTACTACATGATTTCGTTACCCATTTGGATCTCTATGTAACATTTTCTGTACTTTTAATAAAATTTGTGGTGACAGTGATTAATGAATCTTCATTTTAGTGCAGAAAGCCGTGTTTAGTTTATGTAATATTTCACTTAACGTATCCTTTAATGAGGCTTCTCGTATTAAGAACCTTGTAGTAGCTTTTGAACATGATCGATTGAGGGTTAGGTTTTTGCATTACTCCAATGATTAACGTGATTTTTTCCCTTAGCTAATATTAACATAGGCTCAAGATAATATATTGAAGATTTAATATAGACTACATTCTCGTTAATCTTAAATTAGCTCCACAAGTAAGAGCACTTGATCAAAAGCATTAAACTTATCTGGATTGCTTATCGAGTTACGCTGAAATAAATTTATTACGTTTACTTAAATACCAAGATATCTATAGGATTTGATGTAGTTGATGAGTTCATGTTGCAAATAATTACGTACAACACTGTTTGCTTGTTAATGATATTAGACACAGAATTAGTCCTAAAAGGGAGTTTTTGAGTGAGGTCGTTGCATAATGTCTTTGTTCATCAGTTGCAACCTTAGGTAACCTTGCAGTAGATACTGAAGAGTTAAAGAATACACGATTGACACTGACGTACACGTAGCTAAACTAGTGTAAATATGAAAAGACAGAGCAAGCTTTTAATGTGACCTTTGGCTTTTATGTATGTATAACTTATTAAGCACTACAGAGAGCGAAATGTTGTCGTCAGGGTAAAAGGTTGTTCTGCACCTATTCCTTTTCATTACTGTCAGCAGTGCGCCTTGGTGTCAGTGGAAAGAGTGTACTGTACGGACGAGCCACAGGGATGTTCAGAAATTGTCTCAGGGCGGTAAATAAGCTGAAGCAGCTAGAATACAGGGTTCCCAACCTGGGGTGCACGCACCCCCTGGGAGTGCTAGATGGCATTTCACAGGGGTGCGACAGAGACCCTAATGAAAAGCACAGTTCAGTTTATTTTACCTAAAGCTTTTCTGATTTTGAAATTTGACTTCATCTTCAAATGTGATATTATTTTTGTAGGAAGTGCAAGATTAATGAAACATTTCCTAGGGGTGCGGGACATAGGAAAGGTTGGGAGCCCTTGGGCTAGATGAAGCGGATGGGATGGTAGAGACTTACTCCATATAAACGCTTGTTAATGGTATGGTGATTCCAATAAGATGCAGAGAAAGACTTTCTTCTATAGACCATGATATTTAAATATTAAAGGAAGCGCTTCTAAATTTAGGACTGATAAAACAACTTATGGCGAAACGTTTCCTCTAATAACATTCCTAAACTGTACAAAAGTGTCTTTTTTCTACAAACGCCATACAGTTTCAAAAGTAAATGCGATAGGATTCAGGAGGTCAAGAAAACAATTTTCCTGGTGCTTGTAGTTTAAGAGGGGCGGGGTCAGCAAATGAGATTCAACCCACACATACAACTTGGGTAGTGTGACAATTTTGGTACATTATGCGAATGAATGAAATGTCATTACAATAGTAATTTTAACGAACACGTTTTCCTATATTTCAGATCTAACAAGTCAAAATCTTGTGATGAGTTGGACAAAATGGACTAGGAGAAACGCACTAGCAGTCTCTACAACTTCCTCGTTGTGGATTTCAACAAGGAGGCTTCCAGCACCTTGGACCCAGATTCTGCCTGTTCTGACATATTTACACGTGGTTGACACGAACATAGTGTGGTCCACAAGCTGTGGTAACGAACTTAGTGTGGTCCACAACTATGGTGGTAAAGTGTGGCTCACAAGTGGTAGTGAACATAATGTGGTCCATAAGCTGTGGTGGTGCACATATTATGGCCCATAAGCTGTGGTAGTGAACATATCATGGTCTACAAGCTTTGACGGTGAACATTGTATAACCCAGAAGCTGTGGTGTTGAACATAGAACCATCCACTGTATACGAGCATTTAATAATTTTGTGGTTAAGAGGGATGAATCGCTGCAGAAGGAAACAGTATTATAAATTGTAGAACTAAAATATAGCGTTGGTTGTTAATTTGAAAAGAAAGCAGTATCAGTGTAACACTGGATTCTGCTGCCAGACTTGGTAGACTACCTCACCTGAACGACATCCCCAAAACAAGAAAGATAGGTTAACCAGCCGTTAACTACGTATACAATAACCTCACAAAGCATAGAAGTTAAACATGTTTTGTTAACACAATGAAGTTTATAACTGAGTTGCAACAGTCATTGGATGAAGATGAGAGATTGCTTACTGGGTTTATAACTGCCACTAGTTGAAGATAACGTTACTAACGATGTCCTAAAAGCCTCATCATCACAGCAAGAGTCATAAACTTGAATGAAGTTTATGATGATTGTACTTTAGGAAGTGTTGAGGTATATTTAATGAATTGTTTAGGCAATAAACTAAGAAAAACTGCCCACTGGATTCGTATTTAACAAGACGCAGTGAAGGTCCCGTCTCTTAAGTAGATACACCAGAGGAAATTTAAGTTGTATGAATTTTATGGTATTTACCAACCAACTGTAGATACTTGTGGTTAAATTATTGTAGAAATGTAAATGGCTCAGCCGTTGTTATAGATGTCTAGGGAGTCACCGAGGCATTTCTTAAAAAATTGAGTAAAAAGCTTCAACAGCCTCGGTTTTCGTGCTGTATACAAAATTGATCACACGAAAGGCTATCCATTATGTATTAGTCTTCGGTGAGTTCCTTTCTCTGTCTTTCAGAGGATATAAACGTGCATTAATTTTATGTGGTCTCATTTTTTTTATATTATGGTAGTTTTTTTCGGCAGCTGCTGTCAGTACAATGTTTTGCTACTTAAATCGTTTTTTAAACTCTTAGTGCACATACACATGTACAAACACCCGCACGTTTACACAGTCTTCTATATACTTTCCTTCTTTGATTTGTTTACTCAGTTTTGGTTCTAGTCTTCATTTTTTATGGACTGTTTTAATTATATAAAATAAAAAATTAATGTTGAGCCTCGACAGGGAGTGTGAATTGTCCTGAATAGAATAGTACGTGTTAAAAACTAATGATCGGTTTTAAGCCATCCTATAAGCTTGGTTGTTTTCAAGAGCTGTTTCTATAGATTTGGATTGTGACTTTTTTTTCACAATAGCGGCTTGTTTGTTTATCCACACCGGTCCTGTGGATTGTCCCTCATGAATGAATTATTAAATTTAAACCAGTACCACTGGTGAATTATTTTTGTGGGCTATATAGGGATTATTAATGACCTGACTTTACTAATTAGTGGTTTGGTTCACAAAATATACACATTTATAGGAAAATGTATATAGAACATGTACATAAATTACCTATATCAATTTTATATTACATAATAAGTTCAACATTATAAATACAAAAAGGAACCACTTACCCAAATATTTCTTGGGTCTCATATCCTAGCGCTTCCCTAACAGACAGATGTACTAATATTGGCCATTATAGCAACCTACTGTAGTATTAACTGGGAAACTTACATGAGTTGTGCCACATTTCCAGACGCCGCCGCGTCTCTATATTTCACTTGTCTACTTTATTGTAGCTGAGTCACTCTTGAATTTCACAATTACAGGAACCCACGACGTTTACTTATTTCATAGTCCTCCCTTCACGCCGATACACTCCTTATCAGGTGTGATTAACCCAGATATTTTCTGTGACTCGAATTGTTTTATACTACGCCATATTTCGACGCCACACCAACACTACATTTTTTAAATAATATTACATTATTCAATATTTACACACTAATTTCGGGAAAATTAAAAAAACCCACACTACCTATTCTTCTCTTCCTCAGCTCGAACCTGGTTGTCTCCCATTCCCTATGATCTGTATGAACCCCCAAAAGGTTTAACATTCGCCTGATAATAAGTTCAGGTTTATTAAATGTTAATAAATTGGCAAATTGACATCAACACAACCTAAACTTACATACCTGGTATCATCTTAGGCATAAAATGCATCATCCATTAAAGATTCGCGCCATTCAGAAGATGCAGGCACGTTACTTAACGTAAAAATATACCACTTTTTAAAAATGGAAAATTGAGATTTAATTACATTGATAATCCAAACTATGTAAGGTAAACTGTTGTTGAAAACTTAGTCTCGGCAAGAGGAGAGAAGTTCTTGATCTAAAGAAATGAACCTGTGCTCCTCTTCCTTGCACTGAGCTTGAATGATTTCCATTCCCCCAGGTGCTGTATGAACCTTACTGGTTTATCGCTCCCTCTTGAATGTTAACTATAATAATTTGGGATGGGACAATACCAGAATTTTTGCCGATACTGATACTGAGTTTCAGGCCTGTACAGAAACCATGAAAGTTAACCGATACTACCGATATCGATAATATATTATTAATTTAGTTTGCGTGAACTTTACCCTAACTACAGTGAACCAGCACATGATAATTCGATACTAATCAGACAAGACGTTCTCAGGGAATCATAATGAAATGTTTGTGTTAAAACTTTTAAGTTCAATGAATATGAGTTAAATTCATAAAGGAAAGTGGGTAGTATCCGGATCCAGGAAATACCCCCGAGGGGGGGGTATATTCTAGCCCTAACCGAGGGGAGGGAGGATTACAGACCGCCGAAGGCGCGATTTTTATAAATTCATGCCCCCTCAAGGGATATTTCTTAATGCTGGTGAGGGGCTCTTGATCTAGGGAATTGGATCTGTGCTCCACTGCCCTGAATCGAGCCTGAATGCCTTCCATCCCCCCAAAAATGACGCTGTATAATCCCTACAGGTTTAGCGCACCTCCATAAATGTCAAAAAAAAATTAAAATAATAACAGTGCAAATCAGAAGTTTTATTTCCGTAAAATGTCTAAGAGAGCCTGGGAGATGGTCTTTCCTGTGGGAGGTGATAGGCCGCGGGAGGCGTCATTATTTTAGAAAACATCAAGAAATTTTAATTTTTATAGCAGTTTTATAGCAGTATAACTAGTAGAAATAAGACAAAATTAAAAAAAAAAAAAAAGTCTGGGAGTGAGCCAGTGGAGAGCACTGCTTCCCTTGCCTGTCCCGAAGTAGTGGGGGAGGGGGTGATGGCCCACCGGAGGAGCTTATTTTTTTATGAATTCATGGGCAGCGCTGTATATTATTATTATAATCAAAAAGAAGCGCTAAGCCACAAGGACTATACAGCGACAGCGCTGTATAGCCCTTGTGGCTTAGCGCTTCTTTTTGAGTATAATAATAATATGAATTCATGGGTTTTAAATATGAATTATTTTCTGCAGTAGAAATGTTAGCAAGCAATAACAACTTCTAATCAAAAATATCATTCATAATGGCCCAGGGACGGCCATGGCCCTCCATTGCCTTCCCTAGATCCGCCGATGTCCGGACAGTAAACCATTGACTGGTGAAGCAGGTGAGGGAGGGGAAGGGGGGAATGGATAACAGCAGCAGAGACGAAGCGGTTACCAACATTCCTATCCCCTCCCCGCTGAAGACTCTCATAATAAAAGACGTATACGGATAATTCTGGCCATGAATTCATGTGTTTTCGTCAGCACTAATGTCCCATAGTGGTTCAAGCCTTTTTTATGACCATAATCCCTTCAAGGGAGGTTCCTTGACGCTGGTGAGGGGCTCTTGATCTAGGGAATTGGATCTGTGCTCCGGTTCCCTGAATTGAGCCTGAATACCTTCCATCCCCACCCCTACATGCGCTGTATAATCCTACGGGTTTAGTGCTCCCCTATAATTATATGATCATAATACCCATCAAAGGCTGTTCCTTGATGGTGGTGAGGGGCTCTTGATCTATGGAATTGGATTTGTGTTCCAGTTCCCTGAATTAAGCCTGAATATTTTCCAACCCCCTCCACATGCGCTATATAATCCTACGGGTTTAGCGCTCCCCCATGATTATAATATGGCCATAATACTAAAGAGAGGTTCATTGACGTTAATGTCCTTGGATCAACCCTGAATGCCTCCCATTCCTCCAGGTACCCCCCTCAAGGAAGGTTCCTTGATGTTGGTGAGGGGCTCTTGATTTAGGGAATTGGATCTGGGCTCCAGTTCCCCGAATTAAGCCTGAATGCCTTCCACATCCCTTCCCCCCCAGGCGCTGTATAATCCTCTGGGTTTAGCGCTTCCCCCTTGATTATAATAATAATCCTCCAGGTACTGTATGACCCCTACGGATGTAGAGCTCCCCAATAAATATAATGTAACGTGAATATAGTAAAATAATCGTGGATTCTGAGCATGTCACTTTTTAGGTGGTTATCTTAAGAAATCTACACGTTAATATGTATGATAATTGTACTTATGTGGACCTGAACATAATTAATCTTACCACGAGAGTGGTTGGATCAAGCCAGGTGGCTCAGAATTTGTTAGAGAGGTTTGGCTGGGGGCGAGGAAGTAGCAGTAGTGGAAGGAAGGGATTTAACGGTAGAAGGGAGCAGAGGGAGGGAGGCAAGACGTGTGATAACGGTCAACAGTCACGTCACAGCTGTCCCTATGTGCTGCAGGAGGTGCTCCCACCGACAAATATACTGGTTTCAGATTGGTGGGAAAATCTGCTGAGCTAAGAATAGGCTTCCTCAGATTTAAATATATGATGATAGTTGAGATTCATCAAATGTATTTATTAACCCATAAATATAAAATTTCGTATCTGTGACTGGCTTGATTCATAGAATTGGAGCTATCCCTCATTTCCTCAGATCAAACCTGATTGTCTCCATTCTCATGATGGTGTCCCCATGAATTTAATAATTTTACTGGCAGTCCGACTTGGGGCCAGGTTTTTCTAGTGACCGCCTGATCAATTAAACTGATGATACCTGTAATACGTGCACACAGTTATCACAACCTGGCTGATAGAACACATTGTACAATTTGTGCAGTTTGCTCTAGAAGTTCCCCTCAGGGAAGGTTCCTTGATGTTGGTGAGGGGCTCTTGATTTAGTAATTGGATCTGTGCTCGAGTTCCCCGAATTAAGCCTGAATGCCTTCCACATCCCCCCTCTAGGCGCTGTGTAATCCTACGGGTTTAGCGCTTCCCCCTTGATTATAATAATAATAATAATAATAATAATAATGCTCTAGAAGTTTTCGACCTTCATTCCTGCTATTTTTTTTCACATTGGTAGGAAGTTGTGATGGATCACAGATGTTGACGGTGTTCTCTGACAGTACTTGGGTTTATTCAACACTTCTATATCTGCACCCCGTGCTTTACCAGTAGAGAGCCTTTTTTTTCGAGACTGGTGGCTCTCCCGCCTACACTACATTTTTTTCAGTTGCGACGGTCTTTCCCTCGTCGAGCAAGCCTTCCTCTACCTAGAGACATTGGTTTCTCTCCCTGCCTATGTAGGCAGTGGATGGGGACCCTTAAAGTGTTGAACCCCCGTCATGACCTTGGCTAATTTCTTGGAGCATGATTAGGGTCATGCTTCAAGGATAAAAAAATCTTTACTGACGCGGCTAAGAGCAAAGGTGGTGTAGGCTTCGTTGTGATTGCTGGTGAGGACTCTTATTGTGTACGGTTACCAAGAAAGTCCTCTGTGTTCGCTGTTCTTGTCCTGATAGCTGGCTTGTTCTCATTTCATTGTGTTCTCAAGATTCCCAATATGCTCTTTTTGCCCTGGCCTAAAATGCTTCTGCCCATCCTTTAGTCCAAAGATCCAGGAGTGATTGCTGCTTTTCCACACGTAGCAGTAGGGATGCTGAGTTCTATTTGGTGTCCCGGGAAATCAATGGGCAGATGCCGAAGCAAAGGCGAGCCCAGTCTATGGTATACTTTGTCTATGGTGACTTCATGGGCCATATGCACAGACATGTCCTTGTGAGGTGGCTGGGCCTGAAGACTATACCTGGAGGGTATTCCGAAGATCAACGCCCCCGCGGCCATGACCATGACTGGGAATAACTTGTACATGATTCGAGAGGCTATGGGTGTTTCGTTCACCTCTAACAGGAATTGTCTCTTTGTGATGAATCTC